CCTGGGTTCGATTCCTCAGCACCACATAAGCAGAAAAAGCTGGAAGTGGCGCTGTGGCTCAAGTGGTATGCTAGCCTTGAGCTGAAGGACAGCACCCAGGCCCAGAGTTCAGGCCCACAACCGGACCCAAAAAACAAAACAAAAAAACACTTTAGAACCTAGGATTTTCCATAGGACAAAAAAAAAACCTAGCAACTAAACAATTTGACTGAATATGATCTACAAACTGACTTCATTGACCCCATCTCAGAAGCCTAAAGTCACTTTCTTCTGTTTTAGGCTTATTATACCTTCCAAGCTTACACAGCCTATTTTAATCTATTTTATTCTCTTCTATTTGCAGTAATTACTTCATAAGCAAAAGCTACAAAAGCCAGTTTAAAGTTTTTGTTTTATTAACTTAAAAGACAAAACAAGTATTTCAAGTCTTATTAAACTTACTATGTGAAATTAAATGTTGACAATAGGATAACAAATACAGAATTTCAAGTAACTTATAGAAAAGTCCATGGTCCATTAAGTCTTCTTTCTTCCACAAGAACCCATTGAAAGACAAAAACAAAAAATTACACTGCATAAAAGTTAACCACAAACTTTTGATGTAAATTTATTTCACTGTTAACTCCAATGATGAGGATGAGAGGCACAAATGTTCATAGTTCAGTTAAATGGAGTGAACAAAAGAAGCCTCGATTCATGTCTCTTACAGTAGGACCATGTATCTGTGATGTTCATGACAGATCACTTCTTCTTCTTTCCTTTCCCCTTTTTACTTCCCTCTCCTTGTTGAAGACTTGGGTCACCACCTCCTGTTTTTTGTGTCCTTGTTTTTAATTTAGGTATCATTTCTGCTGCATACAACATTACTGACTTACCTAGGAACCAGAAGGTAGGCTTAGTATATGATACAAAAAACCAACATGAAAGGTCATTAATGTATCATTAGGTACAAGAAGGGATCACATAAAAAAATGGGAAGTAATTTTAAATATGACTGTGAAGACAGTAACTTGACCGAGTGGGTGCCTCTGCTGGAGAAAATGTACTGAGTGAGAACAATGCTAAAAACACTTAAAATGGAAAATGTGAAGATTAAAACAAAAGTTCTTGGTCTAATCATCAGCTTGAAGATCAGTAGAAAATATGTAAATATAGCAAATTAGAAACCAAATCAAGAGTATCATTATATCTTAACCTATAGAAACAGGATCTCTACCTAGTAACAAAGTTGAAAGGTCATTAGGCTACAACATAGCTCACTCTTATGTCCAGATGATCAATAAACAGTTAATTGCAGATCAAGTTCTTCAACTGTTTTTTGTTTGATTTTCCAGTCCTGAGGTTTGAACTCAGGGCCTGGGCACTGTCCCTGAGCTGCTTTTGCTCAAGGCTAGCACTCTACCACTTGAGCCACAGTGCCACTTCCAACTTTTTCTGTTTATGTGTTACTGAGCATGTGAACCCAGTGCTTCATGCATACCAGGCAAGCACTCTACCACTACACCACATTCCCAGCCTAATAATTTTATATTCAACCTAGGAGCAATGATGTCCTTCTAGAAGTTTATGAAAATGTTCACATTACAATTTCTTTGAGAACCATTAGGTTTCATCACATCCTCAAAGAGGTATTTTTGTTTTTGTGACAGACCTAGGGCTTGAACTCAGGCCCTGGGTGCTGTTCCTACTTCTTTTGCTGAAGGCTAGTTGTGCTCTACCACTTAGGCCACAGCATCAATTCTGGCTTTTTTTTTGGTAGTTAATTGAAGGTAAGGTTCTCATGGACTTTTCTGTCTGGGCTGACTTCAAACCATGATCCTCAGATCTCAGCGTCTTAAGTAGCTATAGAATTATAGGCATGAGCTACCAATGCCTGGCTCAAAGAGGTTCTTAACCTAGAGAAGCACCTTTTTTCATTAGCAGTAGTCCTTTCTCTAAATTAACCTGTACAATGAAAATTCATTTATAACTTGCAAAAGTTAATTAAAACCTTTTTTTCTTGTGTGTTACAGAGGATTAACCTACCTCTGAATCTTAGATATTCATTAAAAAACAGAAACACTTACGTGATGGGAACTGTACAAGACAGAGACTGCCATCTTCCTGTTTGAGCTGGACCCGGACTCTGCCTCTGTATTGAACATCACGATTCCATTCTCTAGAGTACATTTTATTTTTCTAACATGAATAAAACAAAAATAGGCTTTAAGAAAGTTATACCAATAAGATAAATATGAAAAATGATAAAGAATCATATCATACCTCAAGAAATACATTAAGTCCAACTGCTGAGCAAACATCTTGAATCTCTGTAGCTGTAGGGTTTTCGACAGCCTGAATAGTTACAAACAAAAATACTAAGTAGTTTTAAGTGGTAAGTGCTATACTGTTGGGTTAAGTCATTTCAACTATGAAGATAAAAACACAGGCTAAGGGCTGGGAATGTGGCTCAGTGGTAGAGTGCTTGCCTTGCATGCATGAGGCCCTGGGTTTGATTCCTCAGCACCAC